CCCGGGGGGGGGGGGAATGCTTAAAACAAAGCAGATGAGGGCCTTTATTTAAAGATTCCAACAGGCAGGTCAATCCGGGGTTTTTTTTTTTCATTTGGGGAGAGGAATATGGTACCTATGAAAAAAACGTGGGTTTGTGCATGAAATCCTCTACAGATCTCCTTGGGCCTGGAATTGGATGCGCAAAGTTAACCACATGGATCTGTAAAAGCCGTGAGCTTTCTTCTTCTTATGGTGCTGAACAGTTAAGGTTTGCTTTCTTGCAAATATTCAAATTGTGTAGGAAATAAGGGTTCAGTGTTCACCTGCATTTGCCATCTTAAATTATCATGAATTATTCAATTGAATTTGGGGGTCTAAGAATTATTGGTCCTTGAGTGAACAAAGCCACTATTCGTTTAAAACATTTGGGTACCTCTTTGGGTCCCCCCAAATTTCACAAAACAATGTTAGCCCCGAATATAAAACAAAATACAAAATAGTGAAACGAACAATAGAAGAATTGCGTGGAGAAGAAGAAAAAAAAACCTGGCAAAAGAAATTTTAAAAATTCACAGCACCGCGAACAAATAGTTACGAATATTTGCAGAAATTGAGGTTGAATATTCTTCATAGCTCACTTGTCCTTTAGGGGGAAAAATAGGTCAGTTCAATAGGATTTCACTGGATCGTGGCTGGAAAGAGGAGAGGAGAGGAGAGGGAGAGGGAGAGAGAGAGAGAGAGAGAGAGGAGAGAGAGGGAAAACGATGCTACAGAAAACCTGAAGGGCAAACTGTAGGAGAAACGGGTTTCTAGGAATGAAATAGGACGCTGTCATTTCTAAAGAGATGTCAGAGAGGTCTCTCTCTCTCTCCCTCCCTCCCTCCCTCCCTCCCTCTCTCTCTCTCTCTCTCTCTCTCTCAGTGCTAATAATGTATTGGCAAAGGGGAAAGGACTCTGGTCCGCTTCCCAGGGATAACACAACCCATAACTTGATTTAGAAGTCCAGAGGCTTTGCAAAAGACATAACCAGCACTGAGATAAAGTGGGGGAAGGAGGTGGATAATTAAAATGGGGTGGAGGGAGGAGAGGGAGGGAGAGGAAATGAAGGGAGGGAGAGTGGAAGAAAGGAAGGGGAGGGAGGGGGAGAGAGGAGGAAGGAAGGAAGGAAGGAAGGAAGGAAGGAAGGAAGGAAGGAAGGAAGGAAGGAAGATATATGTTTTCCATACATGATTGCTACAAATACAAGGCGTTTCGTGACCCCCGTGTCATTTCCCCATGTGCTGTTGTCCCCCAACCAGACTCCTCCCGCCTTCTCCTCCTGTGCTCAGACATGAAACTTTGCCTGCCCTACACAATGTCGGCAGCGTTATGCAAGGGGATCGATGAAGCCGCCTGTTGTTGTTGGCCAGTCGGCCTTAATGGAGGGCTTGGTTGGGTTGCCTTGCAAGTTATTTTACACATGGCATTAATAATTAACTCCCCTCTGGACATCGTCCAGGGCAGAGTAAAGTGCATTTAAGTGCCATTGATTTCTCTGGGATCCACTCTCCACTTCCCCTGCCCTTTTCCGGAAGTGAGGAGGTGGGTGGGTGGGGAAGAAATGGACGGGCTCCCCTTTTCCCTTCTCCTGGCTCCGAATTCTTGGGCCTGGTGAGCAATTCCTGTCAGTTTTCCCCGGGTGGTGATTCATGTGGCCGTGTGCTGTTTCTTTGCCTGTCCTGAATTTAGCAACCACCAAATAAACACCACGCAAAGTAAAAACAGACGGCGCAGCTTCTCCACCCACCAGGTCACCAAATATCAGACGGAGCAGCTCCACCCGCCCAGCCCTGAGCTGCTTCCCCCCCCCCCGCTTCTTCGGTTTGATTTAAATCTGATGAAGGGTCAGATTCTGGCGAAGCAGACGGGCGTGTCAAAAGATAATTTCCCAGGGAAAGAATGGGGAAACGGAAGTGATTGTACTTCATGCCATAGATGCTAAGACTGGAAGAGCATCTTTTTTTTCTTTTTTTTTACATCAAAGGATTCGAACTAGGGACCACAGTACAAGCTCCTCACTCCCCCCCAATTTAAATTCTTCGTTAAAGGATTTAAAACCCTTAAACCCGGAGGGTTTTTGTCCCTGTAACGGCCTTGTGAGGTGGGCTAAGAGAGCAGAGGAAAAACTGGACCAAGAGGCCGGGTCCGGAATTTAAAAAAGGCGTCCCACCAATTTTGCATTTAGTCCTCGAGTTACAACCAGTACAGAGCCTGCCCAACATGGTCATCACTTGTGACCGCCATAAATCAGATCACCCATGTGACCAGCCTGACTTCATGGCCTTTTTCGTGGCGGTCGTTAAGCAAAACCATGGTTCGCTATGGACCAGTTTTGCTGAAAACTACAATGCTGGGTTTTGTTTTGGCAGAACGGTCATAAAGAGAGTCGTGTGCCTGGAGGAGGCTGCAAAAGACCCATCCTTCAACCTGGTTCCTGAGTGCTGGAAGTCTGATCATGTGACCGCGGGGGGTGGGGGAGTCATCCTAACTTTAAATCCTAGTTGTAAGTACCCTCCCCCCCCCCTCGGGAGGTTCTTCCTAACTTTGAACAGCAATTGGTCCTAAGCCGAGGGCTACCTGTACTGTAAAATACAAAAAAATGCAGATTAACAGAGTTGGAAGGGACCTCCTAGGTCATCTAGTCCAACCCCCCACCCACCCAGCAGACCCTACACCATTTGTGAAAGATGGCCGTCCAGTCTCTTCTTGAAAGCTTCCAGGGATGAAGCTCCCACAACTTCCAAAAGCAACTTCAGTTCCATGGGTTGATTGCTCTCACTTGTCAGAAAGTTTCTCATTTCTAGAAGGTTCCACACCCATTTGCACCACTCAGGTGACCCTGAGGACACGGAGAACCCCCCCCCCGCAGCCTCAACCACCCTCTATAAAGAATGCAAATGATTACCTGTCTGCAAGGATTATGAACAGAATCGGTCAGAACAGAACAGAAGAGAGAATAATACAATGTAGGATAGAATAGAATAGAATAGAATAGAATAGAATAGAATAGAATAGAATAGAATAGAATAGAACAGAACAGAACAGAACAGAACAGAACAGAACAACAGAGTTGGAAGAGAGGTTTTCTTGTCCAACCCCCTGCTTAGGCTAAATCAGTGTTTCTCAACCTTGGCAACTTGAAGATGTCCGGACTTCAACTCCCAGAATCCCCCAGCCTTCCTTCCTTCCTTCTTCCCTCTCTCCCTTCCTCCCTCCCNCTTTTTCAGGCTGATGTTCCCACCAGTTTGTTGCTGTTTTAATATTATAATTTTTGCACAAATTCCAATGGATCATTTGTGCTACTGAATTGTGAATTGTGAATGGTTATTATTATTACTATTATTATTATTATTTTAAAAACTATTATTAATACTTTGCGGATCTAAAATGACTCAGACAATGCGCTGTTCACCAGGCACCTATGTGTATTTGAAGAAAAAATGTATACATAAACTAAAATGTGACTTGGGGGAAAATGCATACAGAATAGCAGAGTTGGGAAGGACCTTGGAGGTCTTCTAGTCTAACCCTCTGCTCAAGCAGGAGACCCTGCAGAAAAACGAGGTGGTCATTTATTTATGTTTGAAATGTCTCTGATCCACCAGCAAAGTGGTTGACGAGAGATTAATTAAGTTTAAATGTCCACTTCTGAAGCAGTGCAAGCAGCAATGAAACAAGGCGATGATTACAAATTCAGAGGGATTTCTCCCCCCCTTCTCCCCACCAGAAAGGCTACTGAGCAAAGCGAGGAAACGCAAAAAGCCCATCTATATTTAGATTTAGGAAAATGAGATCACCCGGGAGATATTTTTGGTACCCAATCTCAACGTCCTCCTGCGCTCCTTCAAAGACGCTGGATTGGATTGGCATTTGCACCCCCGAGATGCGCGGAAATCAATCCCTCCATTCATGGCTCGAACATCTGCTGAGCTTGCAGATGAATCCAACTTTGTCCAGCCCTTTCACAGAGCCCTCTTTCGCCAAACAATTTTTTTTCTCTCTCTCTTTCCCTGTTGGAGAGATGTTGTGAAGCTTCCTTGGACTTAAAGCTGGGATCTGTTCCTTCGCTCTTACCTCAGTGTCTGTGAACGTCCGGTGCTCCCCAACCTCCTCTTGCCCCAACAGGCCCTTCAGGGTGTGGGAGGCGGAGAGAAATTTGGAGACTGGAGCAGGATGGAGTGGGCATCTGTGGGGGTGTTAGCAACGCCGTGAAAGAGGGGAGCCCCAAAAGCTGGAGGGGTATTTCAGGACCATTGAACCGCAAGGAAGTCACAAGACTTGGAGATCATATTCTTATGCGTATTTTCTCAGGGATGTCCGGGTCCAAGTGACTTTGACCCTGAAAGTCAGCGTGTCATTTGTGCCTCAAACCAATTCATTCTCCCGTGATTATTCTAAGATCAATAGACACTTCAATTTCCTTTGGCCCCTCCATTCTTTCTTGTATGATGCCTATTTTAGATCATAAAGCTAGCAACAAGGAAGCGTTCCTCCTCCTCCTCCTCCTCCTCTTCTTCTTTTTCTTCTTCTTCTTCTTCTTCTATAGAGTAGAATAACAGAGTGTGAAGGGACCGATAAATCACCGACTCCAGAGATCCATCAGGGATCTTTCTCTGCCCCTTTTCTCAGATCCAAGATAAAGGATGGCAAATACAGATCCCAGGGCCTGTTTTTATCCTTTTGCTTATCCATATTGCCAATTTCTTCTTCTTCTTCTTCTTCTTCTTCTTCTTCTTCTTCTTCTTCTTCTTCTTCTTCTTCTTCTTCTTCTTCTNCCCTCCCCGCCCTGTGACGTGGCCCTATCAGCTGCGCCGCCGCTCGCCCACTCCGCCTCCCCAGCCAGGAAACGGGGGCCGGCGGGGAGCGCAGCGCGCCGAGCCAGACAGCGGCTCATTAGCCAACGGCGCCGCCGCCGCGATGAACTTGTCGGGAACCTGAGGCCGGAGCGCAGCGCAGCCCAGCCAGGGACGGCCGAGCAGGAGCCGCCGCCGGCCGGGAAGGAAGGAAGGAAGGCAGCCGCGCAGGCGGGCCCCGCGCCCGGCGCTCCCGAGTGGATGTAAAGCGCTGGGCCAGCGCCGCTCCAAGATGCTTCTAGTTTCCCCGCGGGTAGAAGCACCACGCATGGAGCCCCACATCACGGTGAGCCCCGGCGGGGGGGAGGAGGGGGGCGCCCAGCGGCTCCGCTTGGCCTTCCGGCGTCCCGGACTTTCATTGTATCTTCTTGGCAAGGCAGCCGCCGCCGCTCGCGGGAGGAAGAGACCCGCGGAGGGAGGGAGGGGGAGGCTCGGCCAGCGGTCTCCACGGCTTTCCTCCTTCTTTCCCTCCTTTGCCCTTTTCCTTCCTTCCTTCCTTCTCTTTCTTTCTTCCCCCCCCTCCCTCCTCCTCTTTCTTTCTTTCCTCCCTCCCTCGCCCTTTTCCTTCCTTTCTTCCTTCTCTCCCTCGTTTCCCTTCCCTCCTTCCTTCCTTCTTCCCTCCCACCGTTTCCTCCCTTCCTTTCCCTTCTCTCCTCCTTTTCCTCCCCTCCTCCCTTCCTTCCTTTCCTTCTTGCCCGGGCAGCGTAGCTTTACCCGGGTGGGGGGGTGGGCTTGGGGGGGGGTGTGCTTTGAATCTCTGGCGGGGCTCCTTCTCCACTCCGGGCCGTGGCGGGGCCGGGCGCTGGAGGGAAGGCAGCGGGCGGCTTCTCGGAAGGCAGGCTCGTTCCGGAGCGGCGGGCGGGCGGGGGAAGGGCAGGGCCGGCTGGGCGAAGGCAGACAAAGTGCCGCTGTCTTGGCGGCGGGGCCGGCTGGGGAGCAGCAGAAGCAGCTGCCGGCGGTGGCGGAGGCGACCAAGCGGGGGAGACGCGCTCCTGACTCGCTCCTTGTTTCNTTCAGGATCTGGCCTTCTAAAGAGCAGCCAGGCTTGATCTCCTCTAGGACTGACCGGTTGGATGGCCTTGCAGTCCAAGGGACTCAATGCAGGAGTCTTCTTCTCCAGCACCAGAGTTCAAAGGCCTCCATTCTTTGGCGCTCAGCCTTCCTTGTGGTCCAACCTTCACAGCCATCCATAGCAATTGGAGAAAACATAGCCTTGACTATATGCACTTTTGTTGGCAGGGTGATGTCTCTGCCTTTTAGTCTGCTGTCTAGATTTGCCATAGCTTTCCTCCCCAGGAGCGAGCGTCTTTTAATTTCTTGGCTGCAGTCTCCATCTGCGGTGATCTTGGAGCCCAGGAAAGTAAAATCTGTCACTACTTCCATTTCTTCCCCTTCTACTTGCCAGGAATTGAGAGGGCCGGATGCCATGATCCTAGTTTTCTTACTTTTCATTTTATGCTGGAATTCTTAATTGTATATTTACGGAGTGTTTTTTATTTGTTCTGATCTCTGGTCCAGGACTGTAATAAACAGAATCAAATTATTTCCCCTCACCTTCCAAAAGGGGAAAGGAAAGGGGTCCCAGTTAAGCCCCCCCCCCCAAAAGCAGGAAATTCTCGATCCAGGTGTGCCCTTGAGAAGGTCCATCCTTGCACAGTTCCAAAACTGACCTCAAGATATTTGTGGGACGTAGAACAGAGGTTCTTCTAAAGACTTCGCTTGGCAGATTGTGTCTCTGATACCGTATTGATCTGCTTTCTGGACTGAAGGATAAAAACCAGCACTTTCAACTGAGCCTTCAGCGTCAACTAGATGCCGACGAAACCCCAGAAATGACAATATGCAACTGATTTACTGGTTGTGCAGAAAAACCAGTAACAACCCAAAGCCCCGTTGTGGTTTTGTTCCACCTGCAGTCTCCGTTGTTAAGTGAATCGGCTCAGGTGTCCCCGGCAATTAAATCCCAGGTAACCAAGCTCCCCCACTGGCTTTGAAGGAATTGCTGTGCATTGTTTCCAAAAGGGCTTTCTTCCAGCTAAGATAACATTCCATTAGAATTATGCGAGCAGCATACCAAAGATGCTCTCACACTGTATTGCTGCTTGCTCCCCATGTGACCCGGAGCTTGGCCAAATTTGCATTTTTAGATCATGTGCTCAACTTTGGGTGAGCATAAGTTGGGTGGGTGCGCACAGCAGAATGACGCCCGTCCTGGATGGACTGTTTCCGTTTTCATTTATTGTTAAAAATGTATTGTATTACTTTTTTTTATAAATGACTCAGGGTGGTGAATCTATCTAATCCCCCCTCCTCCTTCTATCTTCCTCACAATGACCCTCCGAGGTGGATTGGGTTGAGAGAGAGGGATAAAGCCCAAAGTCCTTCGTGTTTAAAGCAGGACTAGAATTCACTTTCTCCTAGCGATTGGCCCAAAGTCACCCTGTTGGCTTTCCTGGCTAAGGCGGGAATAGAACTCACCTTCTCCTCTCCACCCTCTCTCTCCTTCCCTCCCTCCCTCTCTCTTCTTCCTCTGCCAGACGATGATGATGATGATATGATGATGATGATGATGATATCCATTCACTTCTGTCTGACTCATTGGTGATTCTAGCAATCCTATATACAGGGCTAAGCAGAGTTATCCAAGGCTAAAGAGCAGCATGGTTCAACCTGAGCAAAGCCAATGTTTCTAACATTGTTTTTGATGTGAGAATTTGCTAGTTGCATTGCAGTTCGAATCCCTAGCACTGCATAATGGAGTGAGTTCTGGTGACTCGTCCCAGCTTCTGCCAACCTAGCAGTTCGAAAGCACGTAAAAAATGCCAGTAGAAAAATAGGGACCCCCTTTGGTGGGAAGGCAACAGCGCTCCATGCGCCTTTGGTATTTAGTTATGCCGGCCACATGACCACGGAGACGTCTTCGGACATCGCTGGCTCTTCGGCTTTGAAACAGAGATGGCCACCGCCCCCTAGAGTCAGGAACGACTAGCACAGATGTGCAAAGGGAATTTTACCTTTTACCTTTATTGTGCATAGAAAACCCTCAACAATGCGCCTTATGTGAAAGATGCAACAGGAAGTCGGAATGGTAAACGTTTTGGCAGGTTCTAAAACGAAGCTCAGCAATCCTGGTTGATTCAAAAGGTTAACCCAGGGTTGATCTGGGTTAATTCCTGAACTGGAACGGGAAAGAGAACATTTGAAAAGAGTGGGAAACTTGCAACGAGAGCCCAGAAGCAGGGGATGCGCAAAGTTCTTTTCTATATCATCAAGAAAACCACATCGGAGTTACTCGTGAAATCTCCAAAAGCTCCATGCGACTCAAGGGAGAGTTTACTTTTAATGGGGAGAGATTAAAATAAGTGGAAATCGTTTGATTGGAGTCCTTGCCGCCCCCCCCCCCCCCCCCCCCCCCCCCCCCCCCCCCCCCCCC